TAGGCACATCAGATTTGTCCAACAAACACCCAGTGATGAATTCATATAATCCATGCACATTAGATATGGTAACTTCTAGTTATTCAAGGTAATTAATAGGAACATCTTGGTGGAAAGTAGAAACGAGGCTGGGGGCATGGACTTTATTGTAGCAAGATGTCAAAGGACAAATGCCCTTAAGGTATTTGTTGGAAGTTAGACTTTGGTGTAAAGGAGGGCTGTTCATTTGTATCACAGAGCCAATTAGAACACTGTTCCTTTCAGACCACAAAATCACAGACAGTTATTTCTTTTTTTTTTTTATAATTTTATTTATTTATTTATTTTTTCCCCCAAAGCCCCAGTAGATAGTTGTATGTCATAGTTGCACATCCTTCTAGTTGCTGTATGTGGGAGGCGGCCTCAGCATGGCCGGAGAAGCAGTGCATCGGTGCGCGCCCGGGATCCGAACCCGGACCGCCAGCAGCAGAGCGCGCGCACTTAACCGCTAAGCCACGGGGTCGGCCCCCAGACAGTTATTTCTGACTTCTGGTAGCACAATGTAAAACTGTAAAACTATATCCTCTTTCATTTGGAGGAGGAAAAGGGGGAGAAAAGAAACTGGTGAATCTCATATAAGAATGTGGTCTGGGGGATCTACTAGGGAACATGGATCCTCCAAAACAACAGTATCTTGACAGTCTTTGAACCCAGGCTTCACTTGTTCATTCATTCATTTGTTCCTTCATTTGAGAGACATTTATTGAGCCTCTCCTGTATCTGAGATGCTAAGTACATAGCAGTGAACAAACTAGACATCATCTTATTCTATACCTCATGAAGATTAGACTGAAGCAGGAGAAAGAGGCTTGAAACTAATAAACACACTAAGTACACACAATCATCCCTTGGTATCCACAGGGGATTGCTTCTGGAACCCCTGTGGATACCAAAATCCACAATGCTCAAGTCCCTTATATAAATGGTGTAGTATTTGCATATAACCTACACACATCCTCTCATATACTTTAAATCATCTCTAAATTACTTGTAATACCTGATACAATGTAAATGCTATGTAAATAGTTGTTATACTGTATTGTTTAGGGAATAAGGACAAGGAAAAAAAGTCTGTACATGTTCAGCTGTTCAGCAACAATTGTATGCCTTTCAATCTACGATTGATTGAATCCCTGGATGCACAAGTCCCAATATGGAGGGCCGACTGTAATAACAACTGGTGATAAATAGAAAACAGGGCGTCCTGCTATGAAAGAGAAGAAAAGAGACCCACTTCAGGCTGAGTGGGGGTCAAGGCAGGTCTTTCTGAGGAGTTGTCAGAGAAGGATGAGTAGGAAGAGGCCAGGACAAGACTGATGGGGAGGGGACTCTAGGTAGGAGGAGCCTCCACACCAGCGCTCAGGTGGAAGAAGTTAGGTCAACATTAGGAACAAAGGAGGCCCAGGTGGATGGCAGAGATGGCGGAGGAGTAAGGAAGGGGGTGAGCATTGTGGAGGGGCTAAGGCCAGAGGTGTAGAGACCTATTAGGACAGTAGAAAAGGTAAGAAATGGTGAGGCCCTTCCTCTCTTCCAGCTTAAGATACTCCCTGAGTCCCAGCAGCATGTCCCAGGGAAGAACCTCGGCTGAGGTTGGTGTGAGTGATATAGGTAGTAAAGACACCCAGCATCCCCCCCACACATGTCAGAGGTTGGGAAGGGCAGGAGGCAGGAAGGCATGGACAAAGAACAAGGGAAAGAGAAGGCCTGGGAGCCAAGCTGACGGGCTTTGACTCCAAACTCCCAGTGTGGCCTTGGACACCTCAGTGCCCAGTCCACAAAATGAGCATAATAGCACTCACCCTAAAGGGTTGCAAAATGGATTGCACCAGGATGGGCGAAATGGGTGGAGGGGTCAAAAGGTACAAACCTCCAGTTATAAAGTAAACAAATCATGGGGATGTAATGTACATGGTGACTATAGTTAATAATACTGTGTTGCATATTTCAAAGTTGCTAAAAGAGTAGATCTTACAAGTCCTCATCCCAAGGAAGAAAGAATTTTTTTTTGGTAACCATGTATAATGATGGATGTTAACTAGACTTTTTGTGGTGATTATTTCCCAGTGTAGACCAATAGTGAATCACTATGTTGTACACCTAAAACTAATACAATATTACATGTCAATTATACGTCAAAAAAAGAAAACAAAAAGAAAAAAGGATTGCAGATAAGTGAATGTGAACCCCTGGCCCAGGGATGGTGTTCAATAAATGGTGGTTGCTGTTATTGTTGGGAGGGAAGGAGTTATTTGAAAGACATCAAGGAGGTAGAATCTACCAGGTGTCATGACAAGGCTTGAGGGTGGGGTGCGGGGTTCTACCAAAAAGGCCGGTTTCAGCCTGAGCAGATGGGTGTGGGTGCTGATGCCACCAACAGAGAAAGGGACCGCAAGGTGGGGGATGGCGGCGCACTTGTTGAGTTACTTAAGCGAGCAAGCGAGAAGCAGCAAGCCGAGCGCGGAGCAAGAGGAAGCAGGAAGCAGAAGGGAAGCTCCGGGAAGAGAGGTGAGGGCCAGGGAAGCGCGGAGACGGGACTTCTGCCCCGCAGGCCTTGAGGGGCGGGGCGGCGAGGCGAGGCGGGGCGGGGCGGCGGGGCGCGGTCCCGGCTGCAGGGGCAGCCGCGGAGAGAAGCGGGCTCGGCTCAGCGAACGCCGGTGACGAGGCGTGAGAGGCAATCGTTACCCGCGCAGGTGAGCCCGCCCAGGGGGGCACGGGGGAGAGATGGCGAGGAAGGGGTGGCCTCCTTTGTCCGCTTTACTTCCTGGATCCTCGGGGACGAGGGTGCTTCGCAGGCTGCGCGGGTCGGCCGCGGCCGCCTGCAGTCGCCCGCTCCGACCCCTCCCCGCCCGGCTCGGGCTGCGGCAGTGACCCGGGCGAGGGTGGGGGGCTTGGGGTCGTGCAAGCGGCCTCTGGCTGGGGGTGGCGGCGTATTTCAGCGGGCTGATTCTCCCCCCAAGAAACAGAGAGACCCCAGACCAGACTGGGGCGTGGTGGTAGGAGCTGCACCTGGAAGGCGGGATCCTCGGAAGGCTTGATTAATGAGGGCTGATGGTTAATTGGGTGCAAGGGGACCTCAGCACCAAAGGTGAGATGCGGTATCTTTGCTTCCTGATTTGAGGTCACGGCCTAATGCTTCACTAAGCAAAGATAATCTAATGTGGCCTTAGGTCAACAAAGGCTTCTTGGAGGTCCTCAAGAAATAGGGTGCCCAGGGCCACTCTGACAGCTGCCCTTTACTGCCCACACCCTCAATGTGTGCTGGGGCTTTATGGACCTCACCTCTCCTCCTCATCCCTCATACTTGCAACAGCCCCTCAAGGTTGTTATGTCCATTACCCCACTTAACAGGTAAGAAAGGTGAGGCACAGACACATTAAGTCACTTGCTGCAAAGCACAGGGCTAGCAAGGAGTAGAGGCAGGATCTGAACTCAGGTCTTTCTGATTCCAAGACTTTCTGCTGTAGGGCATCTACAAGAACGTTAATCACCTAGGGTGAAACTTGGTACAAGTAAGGGTACCCTTGGTTCATGTGCCAGCAGTTTAGTAAGAAATAGAATTGTGTATGATAACATGTTCATTTTGTGCAGAAATTAGTGGCAGTCATGGAGTCCAGGGCTGCAGAGTACAGTGGCCTGTAGCGGGGGGAGGGGGGACTCATAGTCCACCTGGACTATGCCCATCCTTGCCAAATCACATTTATGAGCCATGTGACACCAATGATTCATTCCGTCCTTCAGAAACACCCTCCCCTCAGTATCAACTATTCCTTCTCAGCCATTTCCTTGGCTGGTTTTTGTTTTGTTTTTTTCCTTCTCTTGTTGATATTCTTTTGGCCTCGATGTTCACATTCTCTAGTACTCTTTTTTTTTTTTTTTGCTGGGAAAGATTCGCCCTGAGCTAACATCTGTTGCCAATTTTCCTCTCTCTTTTTTTTTTCTTCTCCAAAGCCCCAGTACATAGTTGTATATTCTAGTTGTAAGTCCTTCTAGTTCTACTATGTGAGCCACCACCACAGCATGGCTATGGACAGATGAATGGTGTGGTTCCATGCTCTGGAACCGAACCCGGGCCACCGAAGCAGAGCACGCTGAACTTTAACCACTAGACCATCGGGGTTGGCTCTCTCCAATACTCTTTTTAGACTATTTTGTTGATGTTCCTTGCTTTACCTGTCGTCTCTATGATGGCAACTCCCAAATTCATCTCTCCAGCCTACTCCTAGTCTGTAACTCCAGACCCAAATCCTCAAATATTCTAATCCCTCCTGGCTAATTCCAATGTATGCTCCCATAGGCACCCAAATCCAACATTTCCAAACCCAAGTTAGTCATCTCTATCTTTTCTTCCATGGTCTTGGCTCAGGTCTCTTTCCTTGCCTGCCCTATTTCAGCATCTTCCAAAGTGGTCCTCCTGCCCCCAGAGTCCATCCATCCTCTACAAAGCTCTTAAACACTCAGGAATCTTAATCTTTCATATCTTCAGACCTGGCCAGACAAAATAGACCTTTCTTGCTCTCCTTCCTTAGCACCCTGTGCATACGTCTAGAGGAGCCCTTTGCATGTTGTGTAACTGCTGACTTGTCCATCTTCCCCTTCAGACTGTGAGTTCCTTTAACACTGATTTTGTCTCATCCTTCTGTGTATCCCCTGGCCTGGCACATAATAGACACTCAGTAAATATTTGTGTAGTTAATGACCTTGTAATGAACTGAAACTTTTGAGGACACAATTTATAGGTAGTAAAACATTTCACTGTGCACAGTGTGACATTTCACTCCACTGTAAATCTGATCTGTCACCATTAGTGAGTGAGTTTGTGTGTGTTGGTAGGGGAGGAGCATTAGAAAGTGAGTTTGCAGGTGGTTGCTGATTAAAACTAATGACAAATGAAAATAAGTTTCCCAGATAGGTGAGTTGATACTAAGTGTGTTTTTAATGTTGATATAAACATTCAGTTATGGCATAGTCACTCTCTTCTACTTTCCTTAGACATCAGGTCAAGGGGTACGCTGAGTACACGCCACTAGAAGGGAAGGAAAGACAAAGTCATCATGGCTTCAGTGTCTACTCATGAAAACCAAGATAAAGGTCCCCATTTGCCACCACCAAGCAAGCAGGTATATTTTTAATTTGAAGTCTGCCATCTGAAGAGGAACATCATACAGGACTTTCCTTAAACCTCATCCTGACCAGTCATCTCATTTACTTTTTTCAATCTGGTACTTTGTTGGATGGGTTCAAGGAAAATGGAATGGTGAAGGAAAGTGTGTTTTTGGCTGCCTTGAAAGGGAGCCTTTTAAAATTTTATTTACAAAATCCTTTCTTTACTCTTCCTTGTTTAGAATCCAGCTTAAATAACTCTTACATAGGCTGTCAATGACTGAAGAGGTTTCATTCAGTGGAGCAAAACTCTTAATTGAACCTAATGGAATGATACATGATGCTTGTTTTTACATTTTTGTTACCAAAGCTGATCATACTAAGTATGTGCTGCTGAACAGGTGTTCCTGTTCAGGATAGCAGAGTGCTTACTGCTATATTATCCATCAGATTGAGAACCCAAGTGTTAACATGGGCACAATTTTTCAACTTGTTAAGAATGAATATTAAGTGTTTCAGGGACACATAAATGAAGAAAAGAGAAAGTATTTCGTGATGGGTAAATGGAGTTCATGTTCTCTGGGGTCAACTTTTCAAGCTAAAAATAGTTTATGGAGGAGGTGATGGTTAAGGAGCAAAGTTTAGGAGAGGCACACAGACAAATGATATCAAGTCACAAGCAGAATAATTTGGACACCCTAGTTGCCTCTGAAATCGAGAGCCATAAAACATTTACGGCTGCACAGAAAAGGATCAGCAGAGCTCTGGGGACACTCTGCAAGAGCTGCAATCTTGACTGCAGGACTCACAGCAATTGTGAGAGTCAGGGTCCCCGACCCTGGATGTATATATATGTATGTGTTTGGGAGAGGGGAGAAGAGGAGTGTTCCTTATTTCTGCCACAGCCACAGCCAGAAGCAAGGAGAGATATGTACACTGGGATAAGGAGGAGTGCTTGCTGAAGAACTAAGGTAAGTGGAGAAGGAGAACAGCTTTTTCTTTCATCGCTGTGCTCACCCTGACCCCCACCTCCCTGTGCTGTGCTGTGGGGAGTTGTAGAGGAAGAAGAGGGACGGTGGCTGCTTGAGTTGCTTGTAGAGCTCTGAAGACATAGTGCCTTCCACCTTGTCATCATGCATGTAAAGTGCTTGGCACAGTGCCCGGCCCGTGGGAAAGTGCTCAAGAAATGGTGACGTGACCGTCATCCACATTGACATCTACTACAAACAAAGAATCCAAAAAAGAGCATTGGCAAAATCAGCAAGGTAAACTTCAAAAGCCAAAGAGCTGCATCTCAGCAAGAAAAACACTAAAACTCCAAGAGATATAAATGGCAGAGGACCTACATAAATAATTCACAAACAAGGAAATACAAGTGCGGCTTTTATAGTAAGGACCAAATTAAATAAAATTTGTTTTTAAAAAATGAATGAACCACTCATGGAATGAGAAAAATGTTTTGCAAATCATATATCTGATAAGGGTCTGTGTTTCTCCAAAGAACGTATATAAATCGCCAACAAGCAAATAAAAAGATACTCAATGCCATTAGTCATCAAGGAAATGCAAATCAAAACTACAGTGAGATACCATTTCATACCCACTCGCATGGCCATAATTAAAAACAAAAGCAAAACAGAAAATAACAAGTGTTGATAAGGATGTGGAGAAATTGGAACCCTCATATTTTATTGGTGGGATTGTAAAGTGATGCAGCTGCTATGGAAAACAGTTTGGCAGTTCCTCATTAAGTTAAACATAGAGTTACCATATAGCCCAGCAGAACTGAAAACAGGTGTTCAAACAAAAACTTGTAAAGGATTGTTCATAACAATAGCCAAAAAGTGGAAACAACCTAAATATTCATCAGTGGATGAATAGATAAACAAAATGTGATGTATCCATACAATAGAATATTATTGAGTCATAAAAAGGAATGAAATACTGATGTATGCTACGACATGGATGAACCTTGAAAACATTGTGCAAAGGAAGAGAAGCCAGCCACAAAAGGTCACATATTGTATGATACCATTTATATAAAATATCCAGAATAGGCAAATCCATAGAGACAAAGCAACTTAATGGTTGCCGGGGGCTAGAGGGAGGAAAGAATGAGGAGAGACTGCTTAATGTTTATGGGGTTTCCTTCTGGGGTGATGAAAAGTTTTGGAACTAGATAGTGGTGATGGCTGCACAATGTTGTGGATGTACTTAATGTCACTGAATTGTATACTTTAAAATGGTAAATATTATGTTATATGTATTTTACCACAATAAAAAATTAATGAGTCAATATATAAAAAAGATTACAACCCAGGTCCAGTTACCAGGATTTCCTCAACACAAGAGGAGAAGGGCAGTCTGCCTAAAGAATATGAGAGAGGTTCAAACACATTAGTTATCAGAGAAATGCAAATAAGACAATAAAATATTACTCTATACCTATTAAACTGTCAAAATTTAGAAAACTGGATAATGCCAAGTCTACAAAATCTTTAACCTGCTTGGAATCCAGCTTAACTAGCCTTATGCAGGCTCTGTAGGCAGAGGAAGGTTCAGGCACTGCTGGTGGGGGTGGAGAGTGGTGCAGCTACTGGGCAGGGCAGTCTATCAAGACTTTGTCAAATTGGGAATACGCATGCCCTATATATTCTACATATATATCTGAGAAACGTTGTCACATGCGTCTGTAAGGGGACATGTGGTGGTGGGGACTTGGAAACATCCTGAAGAATTATGCAGCAGTTAGAAGCAGTGGACTAGATGGGTGCAGGGATGGATCTTAAAAACATAAAGCTTAGTTGAAAATATTTTTTAAAATAAAATTAAATATATAAAACAATACCATTTACATTTTAAAAAGATGCATGCACCCAGAACAATGAACATTTTGCAAAAATGCATACCTATAAAAGATCCGCATTAAACACCCAGAATGGTGGTGATGGGCAGAGGAGAATGAAAATGGAGAACGTGCATAAGAGTCAGTAAATAATACATACATACCTACAAAGGGGGAGGGATCGTAAAAGATGGGAGCTAGTCCAGATTATAGCATATCAACATGATAAAAAATACTATAGAACTAGTAAAAATTGTCAACCATGTCAGTAGTTCCACCAGAAATTATGTGCAGACCACCTATAAATGTGTAAAGAAACTTAAGATAGAAAGTAAACTATGTAGAATAAAAAGCAGTCTGTTAGTTCATAGTCTAAAAATGCATACAGAAGTATAAATAGGTAAACTGGAATATAGATCTGTAAATAGATAACTTGTAACACACTGCTCTGAGAGCCATTCCAGATGTGTAAATATTGTGCTGTAGAGGAAATCTTCGCTTTTCACCCAGGAGACAACATTGAACTGAGTCGTCAGGAGACCAGGTAGGCAAAGGGAGTGAGTAGCTTTCCAGGAAGAGTACACTGCGGGGACAGAGGCTGGAGGTCAGAGAGAAAATGTGGCCTCGTCAGTAATTCATTCTGACCAGATGTCTGCTCCATGCTCTCTGGTCGGTGAATTACCCTTTGCTTCTCCAACTGGGATTCTTTCCTTGCCTAAGTCCATGCAGCGTTCCCAGCTGGAAAGCACTGGCTGAGACTGGTCGTTGCTGTGTGCTGGCAGCCAGCACAGAACGCAGGCCATGTGACCAGGGTGAAGAGCCCTCCCTGCCCTGCTCCAGAGTAAACAAAGCAGATGCTTTTCTGATGATTTCAGTCAACTCAGCATCTAACTTTCCTTACAGAGCCTGTTGTTTTGTCCAAAATCAAAACTGCACATCCACAGAGCGGAGATTTCAAAGATTATCCGAGAATGTCAAGAAGAAAGTTTCTGGAAGAGAGGTAATTGGCACCCCTCTTCATCTTTAACACTCTATTTGCTGCAATAAACTGCCTAAATCTCGTATTAGAATTGTGGTAAAGATTTATTTTGGGGCAGGACTTTGCGTGATTCTCTGAAGAACTTTGATATCTGAGGCTGTTTAGACTTTAAATCCATGTTAAGACCCTTTTAAGGGCAGAGATAAAATCTAATTTAGGAGCACTTTATCTCACTTAGCAAAAAGTGATGCACACGTGACACTTTCCTTCATGTGACAGAGAACATGTACTGCGAGTGTTATTTAGAATTTCTTAAAAGAGAACACCTTCCTAAATTCCACTAGACTCTAACCTTCATTAAGTTCAGAAATAATGTCAGTTTCATTGCTTCATCCCAGCACCAAGCACAGTGCTTCACACATGGAAAATACCTATTAAATGTTTGTGGAATGAATGAAAAGTGGCAGCATTCCATTAATACTTCTCTTGCAATGTCTCTGAAGTAAACTTCTCTGCTGAGTCACTTGCTCTTTCTGGAACTGCCTTATATAAGACAAAGGTGTGAATTCAGGCTGTGCATTAAGGTCTCTTCGAATTTAAAAAATTCATGATTTGTCATTTGAAAATGTCATAATAGAGCGTATGGGTCTAGTCCCAATATTTTGCAACACTGCTGACGTCAGGATAATTTATACTTTGAAATACTCATTTTGGTTTCTGAAATCATTCAAATTCAGTTATCAGTTGTTTTGGAAGTAACACTCTTTAGAAGTTGATATTCAGGGCCGGCCCTGTGGCTTGGTGGTTAAGTGCGCGCGCTGCAATGCTGGTGGCCCGGGTTCGGATCCCGGGTGTGCATCGAGGCACCACTTCTCCGTCCATCCTGAGGCCGAGTCCCACATACAGCAACTAGAAGGATGTGCAGCTATGACATACAACTATCTACTGGGGCTTTGGGGGGAAAAAAATAAAATAAAATAAAATCTTAAAAAAAAAAAAAAAAAAAAAGAAGTTGATATTCATTATGCATTACTGTGATTATGATTGTGCTCCTAAAAATTCATGTCTTTCCTGACAAGCTATGAATAAGTAATTTAATTGAGCCCCAGTAGATTAACATTTCAGTATGACCCATTTGCCTACCATTAGGTAGATAGGAGTTGAAGAATTGGTTGCTATTTGATTTGTCTGGGTTGCTAGGAAGAGCTACATGTTTATCACTGCTCTCTGCTTCTGGAAAAAGTCATTTGACACATTTTGACAGAACTAGAAACTGCCTTTGCCAGACTAACTTGCCCGTTCTAAAAATCATAGCTAAATGTCACCCATGTTTAACCTGAACGTAGTAATCTTGTAATCTTCAGAAAATAGACATATCCAAATTGTGCAACAAAATGTCATGGAAGACAAAAGCAGGGAGCTATCCTAGATAGGGTGAGCGGGTGTTTATTGTACTGTTTTTTAACTTTTATGTAGGATTGAAAATTTCAAAATATAAAGCTAATGGCAACTCCCAAATTCAACAGCTAAGTGCACACACACGAAGATGCCTGTGGCGCATGCAGTGATCAGAATCTGGTCCGTGGTGGGCATTCAATAAAAGTGGATGTCAGAGATGGAGTAGGATGGGGTTTAGGTTTTGTCAGATTAATGCTGTGCATCAGGTTGAGTGCCTGGGGCAGATCTCAAGAAAATTCTCCATGCGATGCTTAATAAATATTTGTTGAATAAGTAAAATAACAAATAACTAAAAACTCATTGCCAAGGTAGGTAAGAGAAAAAAACTCAGAGTAATTCTCCCTGACTTCTAGGTGAGGTGCCAAATTTTCAAATACCAATATTGAAGGGCATTTTTGTTTTACAGCTCTGCCTTTTTCTCTTGTAAGCATGCTTGTCACCCAAGGACTGGTCCACCAAGGTAAGATTCAATATTATTAAATAATTTAACTTGAGAGAGCCCAGTTTTCTGTGACCCTCTTGGCAGCTTTTTGGCACTTGGCATTTATTTTTTGTTGGAGGATCTGTTTACAAAGACTTTTGCATATTTTCAGCCTAAGTCCCCCCAATCTTCCAAAGATGTCCTAATCCCCAGAATGAGTGACTATATTAGGTTACATGGCAAAGGGAAATTAAAGTTGCAGATGGAATTAACGTCTCCCTGCACAAGTATGCTCCAGGGAGCAAGTAAGTGGGGCTGAAATCCACCCAGGCTCTGTCCATCAAGCCATTTGTCCTGGCAGAAGGCTGCATCTGCCTGAGGAAGGGCACCCTGTCAAATTTGTACAATAGATCGTGAGGACTAGCAGCCGCCCTGTATCTCCACACATAACTACTCCCTGCCTCTTAGAGTTTCCAGTTTTCCTCTCTATTCTTCCCTCCTTGCTCTCTTCTTTCTCCTTGGCTCCATCTCACTAGAGAACTCATAGGCCTTGCTTAGTCCCCAGATATCAAGAAGGCACCTGACCCTGTTGAAGCCCATTGTATTGATGACTGCTGACTACCAGGATTTTACAGAGTATTTATACCTAGCAAACATGAGGGAAGATGTTCTAGTTCTTTTTTGGATCTCAAAGACCACGTGTGTCATATATCTAGGAGAATCCCATTTCAATCAATATTATTGTTGTGCTTACAGGTGATTTATTAAATATGATTTCATTTTTATAACTTGAAGATAGTCGTTTTTTTTTTTTTGGTGAGGAAGATCGGCCCTGAGCTAACATCTGCCAATCCTCCTCTTTTTGCTGAGGAAGACTGGCCCTGGGCTAACATCCATGCCCATCTTCCTCCACTTTATATGGGACGCCGCCACAGCATGGCTTGCCAAGCAGTGCGTTGGTGCGCGTGCGGGATCCGAACCGGTGAACCCCGGGCCGCTGCAGCAGAGCGCACGCACTCAACCACTTGCGCCACCGGGCTGGCCCCTGAAGATAGTCTTTTTATAGGAGTATATTCATCAATCAGTAAGGAGCCTTTGTCGGACCATTTTGGACAACAAAAAAATATGGCCACAACATCTATAGGGACTATGTTTTATAAATATTAAACTGCATACTCAAAATCTACCATCTCTTACATGTGTGTAAATATGCTTTTCCAGGGTGGTGTATTAGTTTTCTAATGGCTGCTATAACAAATTACCACAAACATAGTGGTTTAAAACAATACAAATTGATTGTCTTAGAGTTCTGGAGGTCAGAAGTCCAAAATGGATCTCACTGGGCTAAAATCAGAGTGTCGGCTGGGCTACATTCTTTTCTGGCGGCTCTTGGGCTTCCTTTCCCTTTCTAGGTTCTAGAGACCACCCACACTCCTTGGCTCATAGCCCCTTCCTTGTCTGTAAAGCCAGCAAATGGTTGAGCCAAATTCTTTTCGTACTGCCATCTGTCTGGTTCTGTCTCCAAATCCCTCTTCCTCATTCAGAGGTCATTGTGATTACATTGGGCCCACCCAAATAATCCAGGATAATCACTCTATTTTAAAGTCATCTGATTAGCAGCCTTAATTCCATTTTCTAGCTTAATTCCCCTTTAGTATATAGTGTAACATATTCATAGTCTCCAGGGATTGGGATGCAGACATCTTTAGGAGGCTGTTATTCTGCCTACCACAGGTTGTAATGTTTTCGTTTAAAAATTGTGATATAGATACTGTGAATCTCTAAACTGAAACTGTGTTGAGTTAATTAAAAAGGGGAGGGGGCAATGACTAATTGCTTGGAACTACGTTGTTACCTCCACCTTTGCTTTGATATCTCTAAATCAGTTTTGAGTTGTCTGTTTCTTATTCTTTTAAAGCTAATACTTGCTACTTACCAAAAATGGCTATGTGAGAGTTAAATCCAATGAGGAATTGAATTATAATTCTTTTAAGATCATCTCTTTAGGTAATAATCTGTGTATATCTTAAACTTTGAAGATTCCTTTATATTTTATAAATGTAAATGTTATAAAATGAAATAATAATGTATTTATATATTACTCCTTAGGTTATTTAGCAGCCAATCCAAGATTTGGATCGTTGCCTAAAGTTGCACGTAAGTCATAGAAGTAAAAAACAGAAGATTCATTTTTAAAAGAAAGATGTTTATAGCAACGAGATACGAATGTTCAGGTTAACCAAATTGCCTATATTGACTCTAAAAACTCAGTCTCCATTTTTTGCCTCCTTGCAGTTCTTAGTTCATTCAGCACTTTCTGAGGTAAAGCCGAGCAGTAGGGACTTCACCTTAGACAGTCCTTTCATGGACTAGGAGGGACTGGCAGGACACCCAGGAGGATGTCAACAGCAGAGCCTCTGAATGATAGATCTGTTAGGGACTTAAATTTTCTTCTTTTGGTCAATTTTTTCAAAATATTTTCCATAATGGACATAAAGAATGATTTTTTAAAACCAGGGACTATCTAATAATACATTTACCACAACCTTGGAGTTTCATCTTATTCCACTCGTTATGTATACAAAGACTTTTATGTACAAAGAGGGTGCAGTCCAATACACAGTCTGGAACCTCATTCCCAGCAGGAGGAGCAGGTGGGAGATTTCTTCCATAGGAGGTTCCTCTGCCTCGTGACCTCTCTTCTCTACAAGCGAGATGGACTGCAGTGCCCCAAACTCCAGTCCATAAAGAGAGTTAAGGGGCTCCCCTCTCAGTGATTTGGAGGCCACCTATAGCCACAACCCAAACCCTGCTGCCTGCTTCCTCCCCTGATGGCCTCAGACACATGTTTGCCAGCTGGGCCTGGTTGCCTGTCTCTGGGACAGCACCTTTGCTTGCTCTGTCCTGGCCCTTCTACCATCAGTTCAACATGGAGGAGATCAGAAAAGTCTCCAGTTGTCAATCCTGCACTTTAACAGGGAGCTTCATTCTCAGAGGTTTTGTTCATTGATTTGTCATGGTACTTTTAATATAAAAATTACTACTGTTAATAAAGAAAGTTCTACAAGATAATTGATGGAGGAGATTCGGAACCTTTAAATTATCTGTTTTTCCTAACCTGCTTTTACAGTGGCTGGTATCTTGGGATTTGGCCTTGGAAAGGTGTCATACATAGGAGCATGCCAGAGTAAATTCCATTCATTTGAAGACCACCTCCGTGGGGCTGGTTTTGGTCCAGGGCATAACAGGTTTGTAATTTGTTTGCTTGAGGAATTGTAATGAAGAAAATTATAAAAAATTAAATGAAAGATCATTCACCATTTATAATATTAAACAGTTTAACATCCATATGTTGGGGAAAAAACTCTTTAACCCTCAAATTTTGAGTTGTTGCTGTTCAACTTCAACCATAATTATTCATTATTTAGCGTAGTTCCCTATTTTATTTGCTCAACAAATATTGAGTGAGTACCTGCTATGTTCAAGGCATTGTGCAAGACTCTAAAGAATATCTTAATGAGCAGACATGGCTCCTACCATCACAGGGTTACACAAAATTTAGACAGATTTCTTTACTGCATGACTTCTCAGAGCCTTTCCTGTGTTAATATGTATCGTGGTCTCATTAGGGGATTTAAGCAGTAGGACTCTGGAGTGAACAGCATTGTCTCCGCCGTTAAGACTACCTAGGTTGAAAACTAGTTCTACCACTTACTAAGCTGTATGACCTTGAAAAAGTTTCTTAAACTCTAATCTTCAGTTTTCTCATCTGTATAAAATGGAGATCAGAATTGTTTTCATGGGATGTTGTAAGGAATAGAAATGATTATTCATGACGCTCAGGAAGCACTCAGTAAATAATAGTGTTACCAAGCAATGGGCTCACTCTGCTCACCGCAATCTGAGCCAATTAATCACAAGTTAGAGATCAAGAAACAAAGTTTAATTAGATTAGCCTGCAAATTGGAAGACAGGTGACTAATGTCTCAAAGACCCGTCTTCAAAGATTACAGAATCTTGAGGCAGTTATATAGGGAAAATTGGCAGTGAGGAGGGGGTCCAGGGATGTTGCTCTCCAGGGGTGATGGGCTCTAGGCATCACATTGTTCCATTCTTCTGTCAGCTGTGATGGATACCTTATAGGTGTGTTTTGCCCCTGTGGTCAGCCTGTTCCTAGGGAGAAACTCATAGAACACAGTTTTTAATTTATCAAGCTATTGAGGAGTACATACGTAAGTGGAGGTCATAAATCAGGAGAGCATGTGAATTTTTTGGAGTGCGGGCAGAGCAACGAGTAGTCACACAAAGGAGGGGCTTGGCCCATTTAGCGTAGCAAGATGGCCTCACTTATGCTCACTTAACAATAGCTATTTCTACTACAGTGTTACAGGATGAGTTTTGGGGGCACATTTCTCTAAAGACTCTCACTTGTCACAGTGGATTCTTTTTTTTTTTTTTTTTTTT